AATATTTTTTTTCTGCTGGACTCATACTTTAAATTTTCTCTCTCTGAAAGTCACATTTCCAAGGACACAAACTGACTTTAAGCAAGACTGCTTATGTTTTCATTTCAGAAAAAAAGTGGCAGACCAAAAGGAATTTTAATAATGCGCACAAAGAAATCCGAGCGCAAAATTTAAACACAAAAGGCGCATTGTCCCTTCATGTCTTTTACGCACAGAGGCCAAAACCAGCCAATTCCTGGTTCACCTTCTTTTATGTAAGTGGATTAAAAGTAAGATTAACAAACTGTCAAAAAGCATGTTAAATGATAGCTCCTACTAGTTAAAAATTCTGACGGTTCTAAAACTCTGTTGGTGGCCATCTTGGCCAAGGAACTTTAATATAAATGAGAGTGGTGAAGGCAGGGGATGGGGGAAGGAGTCCCGAGCAGTAGCTGGGGGAAGAGGTTATTAAAAATGAGCAGTCTTTACAGAAAGAAAACACCGAACTGGAGCAGGATTTCTGTTCTCACGTGTGCATCTGTACTGACAAACACGCTAAAAAAATAAACATTGTGCTCTCTCCCCTTTCCGGGGAGGGAATGTCACCCCTCGGTAGATGTTTGCTGAAGAATTGCAAGGCTAATTCCCATTTGGCTGTAGCACCCGGGCCGGCCGCGCTCGCGCTGCTCGGGCAGGGCAGGTGCCGCCGCAGGTACGGCGTTTGTCTGCAGCGCTGCCATGGGCACCGGCATGTGCGGTGCCACTGCCAGGGGGCTGGGTGGCTCCGGGGGGACAGGGACAGGGGGACGCCGCTTTGTGCCCGGCGCAAAACACAGGTCACTCTGCCCTGGAAATAGATCTCCTCTTTATTCTGCGGCGATGTCGCCTGCTGGGTGGAAACGTGGCAGCTCACACAACGCCTGAGTTGTGTGAGCCCAGCTCCTCTGGCCACGGGACGGCGGAGGGACAGGAGCGGGTCCCTGGGCCAGCTCAGGTGCCAGGGGCAAAGGGTCCCTTCGACGCGTGGTGTCCCCACACAGGCCAGCCCCATCCTGCTGCACCCCCCGCTGCCGGCAGACCCCGTGTCCGAAGGTCCGAGCCCTGGGGAACACAGGGACCCTGCAGCCGCCCCCATCCCAGGGCCGTCCCGGCACCCGTCCCTGACACTGGACACGGACCCGGTGAAGTGGGAGCTGCCACCGGACACGCAGGGAGCCATCGGACAGCAGACCAAACTGGGGCAGATGAGACTGCATTTTTCTTAAAATATACTGCAAAACTGAACCCAATGAATCAAACTTACAATGTGCCTGAATCTCACAAGTTTTTCCACTCCCTTCCTTTCCGTAAATAGAGGGCTATACACCGGCCTCCACTTGAGGACAAATTATTCCATAAATGTCTCTACCTTTACAGCCGAAATCCAGAAAAAACGGAGGATGGGAATGAGAAAGAGCCAAGCATTCTGGGGATGCAAACACTCTGCCAAGAGCACCCCCAGTATCCTTGGGAGGCGGGAAAAGGGGGTGCGATGACACGTCCTTTGGAGCACAGACTGAATTTCCCTGGATTTTGTAGCATTTAGAAAGACCAAGTTGTAAACTAAGCTTCCTCATAATCCAGAACAAAGAGCTTTGCAAGGCCTTCAAATACCTCGTCTGGGAAAAAATTACATGTATTATTATTTACACTGCAGTGAGCGATGGTCAAAACTGTTTATCCTGGTTCTGCACATGAAGTCCTGGTGTTACTATTTGAATTGATAATAACACCTTTGATAAACGTAAGCGGGTATCAAAACCCACCTATTTATTGCAAATAGATACCTATATGAAGCAAAACCTAAAATATGTTTTGACAAATGTAATTTCCCTCTTCTGATACAGGAGAAATACATAGAGAACAGGCACAATGAAAATGATTTGTAGAAGTTTTAAATCACCATCTTAAAGAGGTTATTAAATATTATTTTAAACCTCAGTGGGAATTGGATTGTTCTGCTGACTTTGATTGGTTTTTTGCAGAATAATTTTAGTTAACAGAGTTGAAAGAACAAGTTTAAAGAAACTAACTTCATCCAGTTATAAAGCTTTGATTATCATAGAGCCTTTAAATTTAAGCTTCATTGAATACAATATGATAATCTTTTTTCTATCAAAAGGCAAATTAAAATATTCCGCTTATAATCCTTTTTGCCATTTCAACTGCTCGTGAGACCTCTTGCACTGGCAGTCTATTTTGGTTGGAATAAGACATTTCTGCCTATATAACAAATTATTTGTAATGTGCCAAAATTTGTCACCACAGCTAACGTAAACAAAAACCCACCACCATCCATAACAGCAGAATGGTTTTATTATTTAGTCATTGTTCTAGTCAATCCCCATTTCTGTGCAGGGGCTACCAGGAGTCAATAGATGGCAGTCCATCTCTTAGGAAAGAGCCAGATAATGAATAAAATCACCAAAGCTTCACAAAAGAGAAAGGTGGAAGGCTGTGTGGTTTTTCACAAGCATTCACAGTAATTAACTAAGAATGCTTTATAGAATGCAAAACATTTAGACAAACTTTGTCATGGCTGTCTCCAAGCAATGTCATAAAAACAGTCTTTTATTACAAACCCAAATGCCTTGTTTTATTTGTGCTCACATGTACCTGCATGTGTGACACTTGTGATCAATTTACCAAAATCAATTTAAATCCAGTGATTCTATCCACGGTGAAAGCACAGGAAAAACTCACCATGGCCTCAGTCTGTTTGCTAAAAATCAGACACAGAGACAACCAAAACAGTACTTATTTTAAACTTCTATTATTTTTCTTTTAACAGTTATCCTGTTGTACAGAAATATTTATTCCAACCTAGGAAAATTATAAACTAATTTCTGTACTTGAATACTACCATGCTGATATGAGAGTAAAAGATCCCAGCATTTTAGTTACTTTTCTACATATATATATAAAATATACATTAATCTAACAGAAGTTTTGATTCTTGCGGGAACACTATTTACTTTTGTTCTGCTTTGGGTGCAAAAGAGAATATTGAAATGGAACAATAAAAGCTGAGACTTGTACATTTAAACAATTTTGATAATGCAGTTTCTTGGGGTATAACTTATTAGAAATATCAAGCATGTCTTTTACCACACATTTTTTTAAATTGCAGGCTTAATCTGGCTACTAATGTCAAAGTATGTCTCCAAAAAATGGAGACATGCAAAGCATTTCCCACATATCAGAAATCTGGATTATTTGCAGATAATTTGCAGTTCACAGCAAAATGAAAAATTATTTATCAGTAGCCAGGGCCTGACTCAATGCCAATTTATCTGCGCGTGCCCACATTTGACTACATTTCAAAATGTCCCTAAAATGCACTAAGCATTTCCAAATGGTGCTTTTAATAATACATTTGTATTCATAACTATTACATTTTCTAACAAGAGCTTGTTTTGACAAACGTTGTCAGCTTTATACTAAGTAAAATGTAAATTCAGAACAGTTTCTACAAAATTCACAGATAAAATTTTCTACCTCAGACACCTCAAATTCTGCCCCAGTAACCACTGGGGCAGGCTTAAGCTCCCCCACACTTTTATACAAAAATAATTATTTTCTAAGTGTTGACTGCAACTCACTTTTAGAGGAATTTTCAATGGCAAGCAAGACTAAAATCAATTAAATCTTGTAAACCTCAGTAAAAAGTAGAACCCAACATATTACAACATCTTATATACCTATCTGGCTATTAGATTCTAAATATTGTAAACATTTCAGAAATTGTTCTTACATGCACCCTTAGGGATTATAATGAAAGATAGTATTTACCTTCTTGCTTCATGCAATTAAAAAAAAACAAACAAAAATGCTCACTGAATACACCTTTTGCTCAAAATGTTGTTTTTTTTTAAGTCTATACCAATTCTGTTTAAAATAAAAGCAAGTACTTAGAGAAGGTGGAGGATTTCCAAAACAGATCTTTGTTTTAAAATGATTATGCAGAAAAAACAGGCAAGATGTTTTAAGCAGTTTTCCCTCATCATTGAGTTTAGAACCAAAATCAGAAAAAAAGGCATTCCACTGTGATGAAGAGGTGGAGGCAACAAATTATAAAGCACATCCTATTTATTACTCAAAAGAAAAAGCCCACAGACCCATAGAGAAAAGTAGTGGACAAACTTTTCTACTGTGTTCTGAGCGGACAGCAGTGACTAATTATCTGAAGCAGCTAAATACATAGGAGGCTGATCTGGACAGCAATGACAGCAAAGATTCAGATTAACAGCAGAAACCCTAATCTTTGAAGGTGTTTTTATGTATAATAATTTTATAAATGAATATACTGAAGATTTGGGATACCAATCCATTGAAAATTCTCTTAAACAGTTAAATATTGTTCCAGGTATCAGTATTAGCCAAATCTGAACGCATTTTGTTTTATTTTTATCTCTATTTTACATATGAGGAAAAACCTTAAGTAATACACTGGTGCAGTTCACAAAGTTTTATTTTCTTGATTCAACGATTAAAGATCAACTAATGCAGGCCAAAGAAGCTATAGTTATAGCCTCACCAATTAGAAATTATCTGCAAAAGTTTGTAAGGTGTATTTCTCAAATTAACATCTACAGTCTAGCTGAGATTTATTTCACTTATTTAAAAAGAAAGCTTTGTCACACACAGTGATTAGTTACCAGCATCTGGGATATCTGAGATGGGATTATTGCTTCTGCTATGCATCTCAACTTAAAATTTAACCCTCTTTATATGTGTAAATGTAGTCACTGAGAGGAGAGAGTGCTTCAAGGCACTCGTTTAATGATTACAGTATTAAAACGAAATCATAAGTTCTAAAGATGTTTAAAAAATAGTGTTTCATTGCATTCTTCAGTTCAAAAACTCTTCAGATGTTTATTATCTTCTCACTGAAGATGCTTGTCTATATTTTATGGTCAGCAGTTCACAGAAGAGTAAATAGGTTGGGTGTAGAAGAAAATAAAAAAGGTGTTTCTACTTACTGTTAGGTGATACTGCCTCCATATTTCTGGGCAAGCCTGGAAAATAAAAATATTGATCAGCTAGGAGCATGAAACAAGGTGCTTTACAGCCTGTTGGTTTTGGCATAACACAGTATCCACCGGTGTCGGTCACAGGAAAATAAGAAGCTTAACTGAAAGGGTCTGCATTTCAGCTTCAAAAACCTGGCTAGACAGTTTAATTGAATTTTACACTGGTTTAACACACTCCCTGCCATTGTCAGAAAGCCAGTAACAGTTTTCTCTCACCCCTTCTTCTCTGAAGGTTAGAAGTTTGGGAGAGTAACGTCCTCTTAACTCTAATAAGAATTAATACTGAAAACCAAGCAGAAGTGAATTTAAATTCTAAATTTTCTGACATCTTAAATTTACATAACGTTTTGGAAATTAAGTCACAAAGTACCTTCCTTTCACGTAGGAAGAGAAATATTTTAGTATTTTTGTACATACCTCTGTCCTAATCAAAATATAATTGTTACATGTAATAATCCTCAGTAGCCTGATGTCAGATGAGTTGTAAACAAGAACCATAACAGATTGCTTTAATGTTTCTATTTTTACAATGGCTTGCTGAACTTTTTTAAATTTTATTTTTTAAAAATTTTTTTAAAAATTTTTTTAAAACTTGCCAGACTTGCACAAAAACTTCTAAATGCAGCCCATTGTAAAAAATTTTACAGAGCAGATTTTTGAATTCCAGCAGTAACACAATAGACCTGAGGAATACATAAAAGACAGAAAAGAGGAAAATGTGGATCTTCTTCTTTAAACAAAATCAGAATGTTTTCATGATCACTGAGACAGAGGTTACTCTCTCATGTGTTCTTAATATTTTTACAAAATTTACAACATTTCTGCCTTCTCCTATGATCCCCACACCATAAAGAGATGCAGAAATAGTGGCATTTTGTCTGTTAGCCATTTTAGTGTTTAAGAGAGCGTGCACACAGCTACTTCAATGGAGGTCTTTCACTTCTCTTTAAAACATTTACCCTTTTATTAAAATAGCTCCTTAATCATTTGAACAATTAGCAATTTGGTTTGCCAATCTCAATTTTCAGTATTTTAAGAAGAAATATTAGTTATTCTGTGGCTTCTATATAATATGCTGTAGCTCTAATTTCAAACATTGAAGCCTCATGACTACTTGCAAATGAGTACTATTAACATTTCTTTAGATTTCGAATAAATTTTTCACTCATGCCTAAATTCTTGCCTTCTTTTATTGTGACGAAGCACGTTAATTAAAAAAAAACCACCCAACAACCAATATTAGCAGCTGAATTTCTCAAAAAATAACCCAAGTTTCTGACGGTCACCCCATGGCATACACAGTATGTTTTCCCTGGATGTGATGGAAATTATATTATTTATTATTCATTCCGTCAGTAACACAATTTTCTGGAGAAAAATCTACAATCTGTTCTGTGTAATGGCTCGACATTTCTCCTCTTACTCAAATACGGCATGTAAATATTTGAGTTTTATATTAATATTTCTATAAAGGAAATGTGTGAAGTGCCTCACACATTTCTAACAGGAACAGACCACGATGCCTGACAGTTTGCGCGCGCCGGAGCTGTCTTCCAGCGCAGACAAAAGGATTTTCCTCCTTCGCTAACTTACAGGGGATTCAGAGGCGCGATATATAAACACTCTCTGGCGTATAAAAACACTGTTCCAGAGACCCTGCCTTCCCTCTCAAACCGGCAAAAGGCTTCAGCCGTACAGGAGACCTTTGCTGGCTTCGCGCAGGGGTAGCAGACAGTTATTTATACATTAGTTCTGGATAGTTTTCGATTACCACAGTGTCCCCAGACTAATATGGTTGAAAAATCGCAATCAATGAGTTGTCACATACTGGCAAAATGCCACTCTGTGATATGACCTTTACTCACACAGCAGCTATTTAATAATAATTAAAAAAAATTACTTTATTTTTGAATACTAGTTGAGTTGGGTTTTTTTTTTTTCGCTCTGGACACAAAGACATCCCTTGCAGCGAAAACCCATAACTCGGAGCAGGGACGGGCAGTTGGCAAAGCTCTTGCCACAACACGGGGAGGGGGACGGTCCCCACCCCTCAGCGCTGAGACCCGGTGGCAGGTTTTATCATCATTGTCTTTAAGGGTGTTTTAAGGCTGTGGGAAAAGTTAAGGGAGGTAGGAAGAAGGTGGTAAGGGGAAATTGGCCGAGCATATTTCTTCATTCAGATGGTGATTCAGTGCAATACTTTTGACCATCACAATGATCACTTACCAACTTTGGGAGTTGAATACAATAGTGGAAAACGGATGCCTGGCTAAACAACAGCTTTTTAGAAGCGATGCTTTTAACTAGGAGACCTATTACCTTGCATCAGCTTGGAGTTATTGTCTGTAACTTCTATCACGGAATGACAAAAAATATAATTAACAATTACTACTGAATACTGGCTTCTCAAATGAAGCAAAGAGGTTTGCCATGGAAGAGAGCATAACCAAATACAACAACCACCGAGCCTGTGATCTTTCGTATTTATTTAAAAGTACTTAACCATGAATGGCCCTCATTTAAAGAAAAGCCCTTGTGGTATACAAGTACGATGGCAGCCTGATGAACTACATTAAAATAAAATTGCATTTATTTCCTGCCCCAGTGGTCTGACCTTACCAGCATTTAGATGTACCAGCACAAAAGCTGCCAGCGCCCCTGCCCACGGGAAGCACCGGCGAGGAGGCTGCCCCACACCTCTTCTCACCGCTGCCCGCCTTTTGCTGCACACAACTGACGGACAATTAATTGTCCCAAATCTGTTTGGTTTTGTTTGTTTGTTTGTTTTCCCCCCAAATCTGCTGTTTTTTTGCTGTGGCTCACATTTGGTTAATTTGGAAGGCCGATTATCTGTACCCGAGCCCGCTCTGGCTGAGGCTGCCACACCAGATGAATCCAGGCTGGATCCTGCGCGTTTTGACCCGTATTGAATTTTATCAGGTGCTAATTATTGTTTTACCAGAACAACGGCTTAATATCCCTTGCAGCGAAAACCCATAACTCGGAGCAGGGACGGGCAGTTGGCAAAGCTCTTGCCACAACACGGGGAGGGGGACGGTCCCCACCCCTCAGCGCTGAGACCCGGTGGCAGGTTTTATCATCATTGTCTTTAAGGGTGTTTTAAGGCTGTGGGAAAAGTTAAGGGAGGTAGGAAGAAGGTGGTAAGGGGAAATTGGCCGAGCATATTTCTTCATTCAGATGGTGATTCAGTGCAATACTTTTGACCATCACAATGATCACTTACCAACTTTGGGAGTTGAATACAATAGTGGAAAACGGATGCCTGGCTAAACAACAGCTTTTTAGAAGCGATGCTTTTAACTAGGAGACCTATTACCTTGCATCAGCTTGGAGTTATTGTCTGTAACTTCTATCACGGAATGACAAAAAATATAATTAACAATTACTACTGAATACTGGCTTCTCAAATGAAGCAAAGAGGTTTGCCATGGAAGAGAGCATAACCAAATACAACAACCACCGAGCCTGTGATCTTTCGTATTTATTTAAAAGTACTTAACCATGAATGGCCCTCATTTAAAGAAAAGCCCTTGTGGTATACAAGTACGATGGCAGCCTGATGAACTACATTAAAATAAAATTGCATTTATTTCCTGCCCCAGTGGTCTGACCTTACCAGCATTTAGATGTACCAGCACAAAAGCTGCCAGCGCCCCTGCCCACGGGAAGCACCGGCGAGGAGGCTGCCCCACACCTCTTCTCACCGCTGCCCGCCTTTTGCTGCACACAACTGACGGACAATTAATTGTCCCAAATCTGTTTGGTTTTGTTTGTTTGTTTGTTTTCCCCCCAAATCTGCTGTTTTTTTGCTGTGGCTCACATTTGGTTAATTTGGAAGGCCGATTATCTGTACCCGAGCCCGCTCTGGCTGAGGCTGCCACACCAGATGAATCCAGGCTGGATCCTGCGCGTTTTGACCCGTATTGAATTTTATCAGGTGCTAATTATTGTTTTACCAGAACAACGGCTTAATGCATCTGTTGTTTAATTCCCACTTCCCTATTCTCAAACGTGAACATCAAAGAAAATAAAACACTCAATCTCCAACAGCCCCTGACAGCAGACCAGGACTCGAGTGCTCAATAGACAAGGCCCTTGCCACCAGTTCTCATATTTCCACAACAATGAGCAAACACAAAAACAGCACTAAGCGGCCTTTCCTCCTTTCCGCTCCCGTGGCCGGTGCCTGCCCTGCGCGGCGCGGGCCGCGGCGGCCCTGCTGGGAGCCGGCCGGGGCGAGGATTAGCCTCGCTAACATGCGGGCGCTCGCCCACGGCCAGCGGCAGCCCCGCTACTGTATTTGGCGTATGAATAACCAAAATGCACGCGCTGACAGGAGACCGGGACAGGCCTGCGGCTCCCCGGGAGAAAATGTAGCTGTGATGAGTGACAGGGCTTTCAGGAAATATGTTCACAATCACAGACAGTGAAGGCCATGACCTAGATCGTTTAAGAGCTTGTCTTGTCAAATTATCAAAAGCTTCTTCCTCTCTGAATAAAGAGTGACATAAGTGAGTGTCAGAAAGCTGCAGGCTGACAAGCCAAGCATACAATAACAGCATGCACGTCACATACTTGCCGAACACCGCCACGGCTAGCGGCAAATCTTAATGAGAGCGCGGCTGGCCCAGGAGACTTGGGTCCCTGCTGGCACAGCTACTCATCTCGCAAAAATCCTTCAGCTCCAAGTCAGTTATGGTCTGACACGACGACTACAATTACTAAACACAACTTTTTAACAGAATCCTCTGGTGCTTTGTCAAAGCGGCGGCTGCTAGGAGCTGCCCCGCCGCAAGCCACCACAATAAAACAAAAGATTTGCCAAAACACACACTTTTCATCACCTCCGCATGGGAACTGCCGCGGAAAACACACAATGCCTCCCTTCAAAACCGCTCCCGCACAAGCAGATGTCGAGACCTCTCCCTGGCGCAGACGGCCGCCGCGGCGCGGGCCGAGGTAGT